GTATTGAAATGTATTTGGTTGTCCCCTCCTGTGTTCTCGCTGACTACACTATTATTACTACTGACCTGCTTATCCGTGGTAAATCAATATACTACTCTGTAATAACTTATGGGTTTGTGCACCTATCAATGCATAACGTGATGATACCACAATTGATTGATCACTGGATGACCAATGTCATGCGTGTCTAGTCCTTATTATTAGTGCAGATCGAATGCTATCGATCATGTTGCAATGTGGCCACCAGTCTAGGTGACTCGACACCGCGGGCACTATTGTAAGATTAGATGGTGGTTGGAGGTAGTCGACAGGAAACCCTGGACCCGGGTTTCGTGCTACTTGGCACTCGTCAGCAAGGTGTACCTGTAATCTTTGAGTCACCTAGACTGGTGGCCACGTTGCAACATGATCGATAGCATTCGATCTGCACTAATAATAAGGACTAGACACTCATGACATTGGTCACCCAGTGATCAATCAATTGTGATTACATCTCAGTCCTACAGGAGGTGATAGCTCAGTGATAAGTTTTCTGACTGTGAAGCTGGGTGACACGGGATCGAATCCGCCAGGGAGCACCAGTTCCCTCAAAGATTACAGGTACCTCTTGCTGACGAGTGCCAAGTAACACGAAACCCGGGTCCAGGGTTTCCTGTCGACAGCCTCCAACCACCATCTAACGTGATGATACCGCCAACTAGAGAATAGTGATTTATAGACAAGACTAGCGACGCATAAAACCCGTACGAGCGATCTAGAGTGCTTACTGGTCCTGCTTTCCGCCTAGCCCTGCCTGTTAAGTTCAGAACACCAATTTCAGCCTCTGAGATATGAATCATGTATTTTAAACATACCAGGTTTCTATGCCAACCAAACAGACCACTCGTACCTTAAAATAGAAAATAACATTTGTACAAGATTTAGCCAAAAGTGGCCGTGAATGTGGGAGACTGTCATTAATAAACTGGGAATAACTTAAGAATGTTAAATCGTATAATAATAGTTCTTAGGTAAAAATAAAACTTATAATAAGAGAGACACGAATATGAGTAGTTCAGTTACTTAACAATTATACGATAAAAATATATGTATAGTATTGGTCCATAAACGGATTCCAAAAGTTACCATTCATTATTCTCATCGGGATATAACACATTCAACTAATATGACTGTAAAATTTTGGAACATTGAATAGGCAGAAGCGTTTACAGTTACACTGAAAACAACAATGAGAATGATATGGTTAACGGGATAGTTGTTATCACTATTAAATAAGTAGTTAGATGATAGAAAAACAAACAGATTAGTTCTGATTTGTATAATAAGAAATGAATGACAGACGTTTTTCTACTTCTATTAATGTAATATTTTAAAGAAGAAACATTTCTTTTGCAGATAATCTTGTAAATTTTTGAATATCTGTCAGAAACATTGTCTACACAATGTTACCACTCATAATATAACCTGATTTTGATTAAATGCCAGTGAAAGATACTGAGAAACATTTATTAAGGTAGCAGATACATTTTACTAAAGTACACCAATCATAAAATGAATCTGTGTGATTGATCTCCTTCCGACTGTTTGTAAACATATAGCATCGAACGTAACTCATCGAGATGTTGAACGTAGGGTAGGGGCCTGAACTTCATTGTTGTTAGACCAAATACTAAGGGCCTAAAATTACTTGCCACTCAACGGTTGATCCATATATATATTTTCTCATAGTAACTAACATTTGAGAAGTTTGTTCTAGAACATTGTATGCTAACAGGAATTGGTCAAATCTAGTCCTTAATATTGAAAATGAAAAAATCTCAAAATCTTGGAATTATTGTAGTTAATACTGTTAGGTAAAGTAAATAAATGGAAAAGGTGGAGTTTTGTTTTAAGGAGAATTATTACATGAATTTCTGTTGTATCTTTATTAAATATTTGGCTTATGGTATTTTTTCGTATTGTTGAAGTTGAAGACTTTCATTTAACTCATTAATTGTTGATATATAATTGATGTTAAATTAACATTAATTAATTATTCACCTGTTACTCAGTTTTATATTACAAACAACCTAGTAGTGCATAGATTATTATTATTGTCTGTTTATAGTATTTTAATTGTCTTGTAATTAATTAATATTTACTAACTCACGCCTGTTACGCCTCGTGGAGGAGCATAGGCCGTCAGCCAACTCTGTCCTTTCCAGTTGTTTCCAGGTGCTATTCACTCTTTTGATATCTATCTCCAATACCCGACGCAATGTGTTCTAATTGAGATCATGAACCATAGAAGTTAGACCACCATTAGAAACCTGGAAGCACTGGACGGCTGTTTCATCCACTGAGCCGACAACCAACATTGTTCATATTTACCTTCAGCCGATCCGCAATATTGCGCGTCCGTCTTCCATTGTCTTCGGTAAGTAACTGCCTCACATCCGACGGGATTGAACACCACTGGTCACGGCTTCTCACTAAGACTCTCGCGTTCGCGCGCGAGATCGTGAGTGCGCACTGCTGGTGAGTCGTATAATGGGACGAAAGGTCTGTCAAGTGCTTCCATGTCTCCAATGGTGGTCTAACATAGATCGGTTCATGATCTCAATTAAAACTCAACAATCTCCACAACCGTATACTGAAAATGTGTTTTTAGTCTTTCTCTTTATATTGTCCTTCAAGATCCAGAGTTAGGACATGCCTCGTGGTTCGGTTTGATGAATTACGCAATATATATCCTCTTCGGTTTGAAGCTTAGTTGTTACCTGACACTGTAGGTTGTTCCTGATGGTACTCAACCAACGAACACTGAGTATCTTACGTAGGAAATTGATTATAAATGCCTGTACATTTTTGATAATGTTTGTAGTTCTCTAAAGTTCAGCTCCGTACAGCAGAATTGTCTTAACGTTTTTTTCGGAAGTTGTGACTTTGATGCTGGCTGACAATTTTTTAGAGTCCCATTTGTTCTTTAACTGTAAAAATGCTGCCCTTGATTTGCTAATCCGTGTCTCCACGTGTGTACCAGGTTCTCCTCATTTACGTGAAAGCTTCGATCACTCGGGATTTGGTTGATGTTCTCTGTGTTGTATTTAAGGATCTTACTTTTTCTTTTGTGTAGTTTGAGGCCAACTGCTGTAGAGGCTATTGCCACACTGGCTGTCTTAATTAATCTATATAAGTTTCCAAGTTGCCATAAGAGAAGGCGAACTTAGTGGCTTTCGTTGTGCTCCGATTGGACACTGGGGATAGAAGAATCAGGGTGGGCAAATATTGTCTAAGGATATTCAGTGTTGTTTAGTGATCATATGCATTATTAGTTACATGAAGATTTTCAGCTGTATTGATGTAAAGCGAGTTCATCCCAAGTAGACTTAATAATTTAGTAATCTTCTTCAGCTGAACTTATAATACTTACAAAGAATGTTCACATATACTTGATCAAAGATTCTATTCATTTGGCTACAAATGGTTACAGATCGCGAATCACAGCAATAACGTCTACTACTTGCAGCTTGATGGGTTGAATCAAGAAATAATTGATACGTTAGTTATGAATCCTAATGGAAGCAATAATATTTGCTAGAATTTATCTAAGCTCGGTTGATGAATCCTACCATTTGATTCTTAGTGTATTAACAAGAGGTTGTGAATCAGCAACTTAGTATCGGATACTTTGCTAAGCGGTTCATAATGGTAGTTTGAGTTAACAGGGTTTACAGAAGATCATTAGTTAGTAATTTAGTTTTTATCGCAGACCAATAATATCAATTTTAAAACTACAGGAAACAATCAATCAGAGTATAGATGTTTTGTTCTAGTTCAGCAGCTCTTAGTCCATATGACGTGATAAAAAGCTGACATTATTTAGGTTTAGTTTTTGTACCAACTCATTATGAAGTATAAGCAGTTAGAACGTGGATATAACCGAGTCAATATGAATACAAAACAGTGGCAGCCCAGATATAACAGCACTCATGATTGAATATCGAACTTTTAAGTATCGTGATTTCAGGATTTAGTGATTCATCGTATCAACATCATTCTATTTGCAATATATAGGACGGCAGTCATCTAGTGCGTTTGGTAATATCTACTTCACTCTTGATACGATCAGAGCTTCTCGAAGTCAATTAGTAGTGAATATATATGTCTAGTTTTATAATTGGGTATCCATACACATTTATGCTATTGAATATGTTGTGAGAACACAATGTTAAAACACTTTAAATAAAAACTATGATATTTTGAAGTAAACAGAAGTTGAAAGTTGAAGTAGTGTGCATAATTGTTGTATTTAATTACATATTGATACATATAAGTTAAACACACATATTGTGCATACCACCAAAGGAAATATATTTTAAGAAGAATCAGGTGATTGTATCAAAATACTCATAGAAGTATGAAGGAAAAAATTATCCTCCTTTAAAACACTATTTGTCAAAAGGGCTCATTTCATCTTATTTTTTTGAAAGGATACTTACTGTACAAGAAGAAGGATTTAAAAAAAAACGAGATTTGAATTAATGGAGGAGTAAACACATTAATTAGGTTAATCCTTACAGGTTTAATTGTAATTTCAATCTCTTTACACACAAGTATGCAAGTATGTCGATCACTCACTCACTCAACCTGCTTGTCTGTCTATCCATCTATTAATTTGCCGTCTATCTGAATAAGTATTTACTGTAGTGTTAAGACTCTTTAGACAATCATATAGATTTCAATTTTCTTAAAAAAAGATAGAAAATGTAAAACAAATGAAGGCTTTTTAGGGTAAGAAATGAAGTGAGATAATAGATGGTGAGGTACAAAAAAAGTTACTATGATGTTGATTCTTGGGTTTAATGAATGTTCATGTAATTATTTGTTTATCAAGGTCTTGAGGGGTTTGGTTAGGAAAGTTTGGAAGGGTAATTTATAAATGGATAACTGGTAATATTAATTAAATTTAAAAAAGAATCTGATATACATACATGGATAAGTATATATATATATATATATATATATATATATATATATATATTCTATCTAAAAAATAAAATCTCAGCAGTGGTATTACATAAAAACATAAAATACAGGTAAGGATGGGGAGAAATACCAAAGATTCGGAAACAATAAAGTCCAACTAAGTTAACACGGATTAACACATTCTCTTCACTTATCCAACTGAATTAATTTGAATTTTCGTTTGACAATAAATTGTCTAGGGGATCGATATATATATTATAAAGAGAGGTTTATACATTACGATTTGTCTTGGAAACTTGGCAAACTATGGATAGCAGCAAATTAAAAAATATAGGAAGTGAATGCGTTTTTTTAAAAAGGAAATTTGAACATTAGAAAATGATCATTAAAGGAAATCACATTTAAACTTGATTGATAAATGAAAAAACAACGGAATAAACAATGAAAAACTTAAAAATGCATCTTTTTCCTTGTAATCTCATAATTGCTCAAGCCGAAAGAATATAAGAGGAGAAGAAAGGGGTTGACTGGGAACATAATGTGCATACATTTGCACACATGAAAAAGAGAGGGAGAAAGAAGGATAGATCTTGTTATCGTGTTTTGTTTTGAAGAATAACTGAAAGCGCAATCTATCTAGTAAATAGTTTGTTATTTTTCTCTCAAGTCATAGAATCCAGTGTGTAACGAAAGAGAAATTGATTATGAAAATAAAATATATAAAGTCGAAAAACAAACAAATTGTTTTTGTTTGTTTAAGTGAAGGTAATAACAAATTAGAACAAACGAAATTTGAAAGAAAAGATACATTATAATTAAAGGCAACTAAAAGAAATTTGGGCAAAATCCGATCAACTCTTTTGCAAAAGAAACTATAAAAGTTAGCGAATATACAATTTCTACTCTGCTCCTATTAGTACTAAGACCGATAACAACAACTTCGGCTGTTGTATATCATACAATCATCAATAAGGCGAATGTCTTTTGTAATCTTGTGTAATTGCTTACATTTTGATTGTATGAGTATGTCTATCAGAGTATTATGCATAGATAGTATGAGAGTTGCACTCTTGTAGAATAAAAGGAATTTGAGGTAAACATTTAGGAGGATTACTTCACTACCACATGGGTGATGAATAAATGTAATTGTAGTAGGGGAGTTGAAGAAGACTTGTAATGGAGAGAAAAAGATGGCATTGGGTATCCTGTCTGTTGCCAAGTTATTGAACAACAAATAGAATTCGCTTGAGCTAAATTTCAGACTCTTTCATTATAGAATTGAGGATAGGTTAGTAACAGATGGTTTAAACTAAAAAGGTAAGTTACCAGAGTTACAATGCCTGTAAGAAGTTAAGGTACATATACACACATCGAATATATTATATGCTCGGTGATACATACATGTGTGTATTTGTATCAATGTACAAAGATGAGAATAATGAAAAGAAAATTTCGTTTTAATCAACAATATTCAGAGGACTGTTATTATTCCACACAAAAGGTAGTTGGTAAAGGTTTGTTTCTATATACAGAAAGAAAATACGTTTAATCCATCGACATCTTTAAAATAGTTATTCATACATTACAACACAGTTTTGTAATATGAATGCAGATTTATCCATTTATTCATGTATACAGACATTTTAATTTATTGGATAGCAAAACTTTTTGAATTCAGGTTTTTGCTGATGCTTGTATAACACGTTCAATGGCTTTGATATCATCTTCAGCTAATTTCTTGTTAAGAGTTCGACGGACTGATTTGAATTTCGAACCAAAAAAATAATGTGGAGAAGAAATTTAAAAGAAAAATTAGGGATAATCAATTCACAAATAATAGTGGTAATAATCAAAAGAGATGTACTTTGCAAGAATCAAAATGAAAACGATAATGAAATGTCATAATGTTTTCTAAACCATAATGAATATGCATTACACGTGCTATAAATAAATAGCTACACAGAGAATGACTTTTGTATATACCAAACAGCATGCATGATAAGTTGTGAGATTGATTGTTCCATATGAACAATGATATAATGCATCAGTTGTGTTCATTTACTGTTGACGAATCTCAAATGATAACGAGACAACTATCCAATAATATTTAATTTTTAGTAGTTTTCTAGTTGATGTAAGCCATGTTGAATTCGAACCAACCTCTTCGTACATAATCTAACTAAACTAGAACAGTGACTGAAATGAAATTTGTTAGATATTCTGAAAGTTTACCAAAGCAGTATAACTCGTGTTTTGAAGGGAATTACTTTGGAATTCAGTTAATAAACGTCTACATAGAGATTTTCACAATTCCACAACAGAAAATTCAACAATATGAAGTTTCAAAGATAATTATGAAGTGCTTTTTGGAGACATTTCAGTGTTCTTTAAACTGGATGTTTTTATTTTTATATAATTGTAAAGCTTTCATCGTTCTGAATAAAATTATCAGGGTTTATTTACTGCTTAAAGTAGATATTAACGATGTTATTTAGAATAATAATAAATCCCATTCAGACCGCAGAACGTAACACCAGCAAAAAACATACAACTAAACTAAAAATCCGCCCTATCATTTCAACGACCTTTATTATTATTATTATTTTTAGACTAGACATCTTCGTCAATAATATATTGAATACAAGCATCATTTACACTAATTTAAAGACAATACCGAATTTCTCGTGAAATAAATAAATAGTTTAGATCATTTTAAAAAAATATATAAAATAATCGGATTGTAATTCACATCACCATTGCATAATAGCCTTGTATACAAGCATATAAATAGATACGCGAACACACATTGAGTAGCATTCAATTTCAATAAATTACATCATGTACAAACTTAAATATTTTCCAAAACAAACATAAAAGCAACAACAACAATTAGTGAAAAACAAAACGAGACATCTCTCAAAACGCACTGGAAAACTGCAGAGAGAAATGAGTTGAATAGAAAAAAAATAAACACACAAGTAGTATACAACAATGATGAATAATTAAAATGAATAGTATAATTTAAAATAAACCCAAAAATATGTAACCTGTATTGTGTTTATGTATGTAGATGACTGTAAGTATACTGGCAATCCAAAAAACGGGGAATAAATGTCAATTAAGACACACCGAAGTTCAGTCAAGAATATCAGTGACAGGATAATTCAAATCACCATAAAGTAAATGAATTATCAAAGCTCTAACATTAAGTCAGATATAAGTACTGGTAAGATATGGTGAGCAAATGGATTGTTCACCCATGTGTCATTGTCTGGGTCAGTCTAACAATCTATGAATACGCATTAGTTGTATTATTATATTTGACAATACAGATTCCTACGGAGATAGTCTCATGTACTGTAAAGTTGAGTTGGTGAATCGTTGTGTAGTTGTGTGGTAGCTCCCAGTCAGTTTGGATGTGATAACACCATCGAATTAGGCAACGGTCAAGATACATCGCCCACTCATTCAACACCACAGAAAACAATTTTCACTTGAGTTCGTAAGACAATTGAGAAACATTTATCTTAACAATAAACTTGACTGAATCCATCACGGGTTACAAATTATTTTTGTAACTTCAGTATATATTTTTACAGAGTAGGTCAACTACTCTGGTTTTTAGATTAAAAGAAGTTTATGATACATCTGTTCTATAGTTTGTCAAAGAGAACCGTATGGAAAAGCTCTAGTAATTGTTTCTATAACATGTTTCCTTCACTTCATCCCTTTCACATCTCTTCTTTATTATATGCATACTTAAAATGAATAACCACACTCGTAATATTACGTAATTTTCGATGATTTCTAGTGATTATTACTATTATTTTGATGAGTTGAGTTTCTCAAGTTTTGACCTTGTTCTTTCGTCAAAATATTTGGTCATTATCACATTTTTATTATTCTCGTCACTATACTAGTAACATTGAACGTCTTACCTACCTATCAATAATCCACTTATTACGATTAGTTCTGTAATCCATTTCGCTGTTATCAGTGACTTACGCATTGTTTTAGTTAATTTAATATTTTTAATATTATGCATATAAATGCTAACTGCATATTAAAGTAAAGCATGATGAAGATCTAGTCGAAAACAGTATTGTTTGCTAATATTTACTTTCTTAAACATACCTGAAAATCTTGAACGATCTGTAGGTCTTCTACGATCTTTTGGTGGAACACGTCGTCCTGATGCCCCATGAGAATTGATAGATGGCGTACTTGCACGTAAACAAGCATCTAATAGGATATCTTGTTCTTGATCTAATGCTTCCATTGATGCGTCTGATGTTTCACATAATAAACCTGGACTTCGTCCACGATTTGGAGGTGCTAATCTTCTAGGAGCTGATTATTTATTGATTAAATTCAGAGTAACATACAATCAAGGGAAGTAAGGGAGAAGTAGTTATTAAATTAATTAATTAAAATGTATAGATATACGTTAAAAAAGGAACAAATAATGAATACGAAATGTATGCTGTCAGAAATCAACCCAATAGTTCTCATAGTCAAGCATCTCAACATGATAGGAAAGTTGACATAATCTATTTTGCAAGACATATACTAAACCGATAGAATAAATTCTGTTACAGACTTTCTTCAGTAAGAGGAGTTGTTCGAGATGATGATGATGTGTTTTTTTACTTGAATAGTTTGATTGCGAAGCTTTCATTAACGTAATGAAAAACATCATCAGCATCCAGTTCAGGTAGATGTGAATTTTTCAGTAAGTTTATGGCTATTGAATCAGTTAGTTCTGATGGTTCTATCTATAATATGTTGTCTTGATTTATTTTTGAATTCATGTTAAATGTAATTTTCAATTGATCTCTGATCATGTGATTGGGCTTTTCTAAAAGTGTTGGTGATTTGATCCTAAACAATAATGATAACTTTAAGACTAAAATTACCACGTATCTAAATACGTTTTTAAGAAGAAATATAGACATGAAATTAAATCGTTCATTGAATGATTAATCTAAAAAAACTAAGCACTGTTAAGATATTCAAACCAACTCAATAGATTTATGCGAGGAAGGGAAACAAAGAGTTTGTAGTAGAAATTTTATTATACCAAACATAAAATAATAAATAAGACATTTGTCAGATTTTTACAAATGTACACACCTGGTCCAGGAGTATGAAGACGTCGTCTAATTGTAGCTGTAAATGATGATGCGTCTGAGTCAGTTTCATTAGAAGGTCGAAGTAATAAATCACGAAGTTCCGCATCATCTTTCGATTGAACTAGATCATTTGGTGCATTTCGTAAACCAGTAACCTTTTGGGATTGATTTGAAAAAGAAAACCTCCAACAAATACATAATCAATCTAACGAATTTTAATAAAACCAATATTTACTTTGACATTTTGTTAAATTAAAATTTCATATTATTTTTAGTGTTAGAGAAGTATTATTGGCAGCGATTAGTTGAAACAAAACACACTTGATTAATTTAAATCTTGACGTTTTCATTATCAAGGCATCAATATGTATATTTCACATTAAACATTAAACAAAAATGGTAACAAATAAAAAGCATATAGATTTCACTGCCGAAGAACACACTGTGTCAGGAATTGGAAGCTGACAACAAAAGGATTAATAGAAAGTGGAAAGTATTACCCAGGACAGAGTAGGATGGAGAATAATGGTGGGTGGCTTATACTACACGACGAGGGGCAACAGGCATAAGTAAGCAAGTGAAATTTCAGTGCAATAAATAATTTAATTGTTACAGTGATGTATTTACATTTAAGTTTTAGCAAGAAAATCAAGGTTTACTCGGTGATAATAAAAATGATATTTTTTAGTCATTATTAACTTGAGCAATGTTTATTATAGAATATACATTGACTTGGCAATTGAAATCAAGATTCAAAAGTTTGTGAAGAACGTTAGACTTCATATTATTTTCCATCATCATTGTGGATTGATCATGAAATATTTCAAACTGAAGAGTATTAAATAACCTACTTATTGATCTTTTGTTAGGGAGATTCTCACAAGTACATATTCACCATTATATACGAAATTAAAAATATTTTGCGTAATAGATCATGTTGTCACAATTCTATGTTTCCTTCGAAATCTAATAGCTCATGTTCTCAAATTTGATTTTGTGATATTGTTAAGCTTTCACCCAATACTATAGATACTTATATGTTACATTTCTCAGTGTGATTGAATTCTACCAGTCATAGCATTTTGTCAGAATTTTGAGAATCCTTACTTGAAGTTAGTCGTTAGTGAAAAAACATAGCTTTGATTAAAAAATCATGAATATTCCTATTGAGTGGTTGAAAAGCATGATGCCCGATAGCAGCAGACGTGAAGGTCCCGAGTTCGACCCAGTTTACAGAAGTTGTAGGTGAACACACAGATAAATAGTGCTAAACTAAAACAAGAGGTCTATCCAATGCTCTCATAATATCAAACAGTTTCCTAATCTATGTAAATTTCAATTCAAGTATGATAATAAGAACTCATTACAAACGATTCAAAGATGAAATAGCAAATTAACTATAGCTAAAGAATACTGTTAAACCGATCAAGATCAAAGTTATAGCATAAATATCCAAAATAAAGTTAGAAATTAGGATTACGGTTCTCATCATAAACTGACATAAGCTATGTTGTAAGAATTTAAAAATGTATGTCCTAATCCTATATCTTAACATCATTCATTTATCTTAGCTGTTTCTTGATTGATTAGAACTGCTTAAAACCTTAAGGTTGTTCGATAGTATACATTAGCTTTGTCATAAATTAATACAGGGTTGAAATAAGTCCGTAAATAATAATGTTGGATAAAAATTAAGAATAAATAAGCAAATTAAATAGATTAAGTATTCAATGAAAAAAATGGTTAAATATAAAATGTTAATATTAATTATTACGAAATAACCCAACAACTATAAGAATTGTGTTATTTATAATTGTGAGTGTCCTTTTGGTTTATGATGATTTGCTTACAGTTTTTGCTTGAACAACTTCTGATTGTAATTCCATTATAGTGTTAAGCTAGAAATATTATGATAGTAAAATATTATTGACTCTTAAAATAAGGCATTATATTTCACTATTTTTTGTTTGTTTGTTATGCAATTGTTGCTATTGTAAACATTTCATTTATGGTATTAAAAAAAAGTTCCCCCTTTAATTTTTATGAAATGAACAAATTGAATAAATAATAAGACATAATTGACTCGTTAAAATTAACATTTGACAAATGTGATCCGTTCAAATAGAAATTTATTTACAACTAATTAATATGTATTTTCATAATTTAAATTAATCTAATTTGATATTTGACACTTACTTTGATCTCTGTGAAATCTTATTTATTTATTTAATGTATGTGATTGTATAGATTATGTAATTTGTGATCGAACATTTTAATAACGGTATTAACTAGATCATAACTGTTATATCCTAACGAAGATTAAATTACGAGTAACTTCTGAGAACTTTTAATGAACTAATATTATATGCCTATTGTATAACTGTTCAGTAACTAGATTAGGTATATCTATAATTCCCTTATTGTAAGCTTCATTTTGATCTACTGATATGATGGGAAGAAAAGTCAATATTCGATTGATTTACTCAATATAAGTTTTATCCTTTTTGATTCAATGTAATGATTACGCAATGTAGTAATTGTTTCTTTTCTCGTATGATATTTTATTTTGTATAATATACAATATTCTTGTATTCCATTGACTATGAACTATACTCAGCATATGATTTGTTATAACTGTGAGTATTTTTCATGTATGTGATTTCATTCTAATTATTAATCAAAATGGGTGTGCAATCCATATATAAACGAGTGTATTTTCTACTAAAGGGACTTCGCTCTTTTCTCTGGTTGCTGCAGAATACACTTCTTATTTCAAGCTTGGACTTCTCCTTCTAATTAGCTGGGGCTGGGACGCATCATAGCTAGCTTACTGGTTCTTGATCACCGAATCTCGTTCTCGTTCGCAGATTAAGTAAACTAGTGATAGCTTTTCAAACATAACACCTATAGATTATTATTACACGATTTAATGTTCTTAAGTTATGTTCATTTCATTGATTACAGTCTCTCACGTTCACAGCCACTTTTTGGCTTCATCTTGTATACATGTTATTTCCTATTTTATAGTATGATGCGGTCTGTTTGACTGGTATATATATCAAGTATGTTTGAAATAAGTGATTCGCATAGTGGAAGCTGTTATTGGTGTTCTGGACTCAACTGGACGGGCTAGGCGAGAAAAAGACCAATAAGGACGCTAGGCTGCTCATACCGGTCGAATATCATTGGTTTAGCACAGTGCTAAGATTGAATATGTCGTATTTCGATTGGCGAATAAACCATTTGATAAAAAGTCACAACAATAACTATTGCAATCACTCTTACTTCACTATAATTATTCTTTTAATTTTCTTTCATTTACAAGGCGGATTCAAGTATACAGTAGCATATGAGTCACTGTGATGTTTATAAACATCAATATAATTTCAGTGAGATATTCTTTGAGTTGCTTGATTTAGTTACAATGCTTCTAAAAGTTATGTTGAAGATGTTATCCAAAATGATGATGAAATCTTAGCAATCAAATAATCCAGCTGAGAAAAAAATACAACGCGACTGTGAACAACTGACTGAGTTATAGATATTCTCCATCATTTCATTTCTATAAAACTATTTTAAAATCGTATTTTGTAGTCTGATACTTTTTTATTTCATTTGATCACTTATTTGGACTCATACCTAGGAAACTGTATTGAGATTTGTTAATATTATTTAATCATGCACGCGTGGGATCTGACTAATTTGTGTAGATAGTGCTACATTAAAATCTCAGTGTGCTTTAACAAAGGCGATATATATATCCCTTTTTCATCACTAAATGACTTAGGCTAGATAACAGATGAAAACAAGGAAAGACTAGACGATTGGTTAATCCTAGTATTGAAGTTCTCTGTGATGTGTATCTGCGATCCTGAAAAGGGCAGAAGGCAGAACATTCTCGCCCCACAGAGAGTGCTTGAGCATTAGGTCAATGCGTTGGTATTTAGTAATTTATAGTTCTAGCCTCATTTGGTTTACGATATTTTGAGACCGCGATTGATTGTTGCCTGTGATACTATGGCTTAACTTCCGACATGATCTATAACTTCACTGATCACAGTTTCTCACTAGAAGTTGTAGAATACCATCATTAAAAATAAACACTTACATCTACAATTAATTTTCCTCTTGTTCGTTTGCGTTCTCGTGCTAACGCTTTTTTCTCTCGTCCTTCAATAATTTTCTCTCGAGTTGTTCTATATTCCAGAGCGAATTCAGCTAGAATTCGACAAAAGTAACCAACTGAAGTACTAGAGGCTCTAGCTGCACTATAACCAAGATATTCCAGAGTATGTCGAAATCTGAAGATAAAAGAAAAACTGTACTTACAACCACATTCTCTATATATAATTCAAGTATTTCGTAATTCATTCATAATTAAAGAAAGAAATATTGTTTACATTTAGTAACACTTCTTGCCAGCCTTATTTTTTAAATAACCATCTCCTTAATTTCCACTGTACATTATCTCATAATTTCCTGTTGTATAATTATTAGTGGATAGGTAAAAAGTATAGATATCCAGTACAAAACCATTATTTTGACCAGATACAATCTTCATAATAGTAACAAACATTTTCATGTTACAATTAACCAGCTGATGAGAAGTTTGACAACAGTGAATTATTGTATAATGTTAATATTTTGACGTTCACATAGATATTTCAATTATTACTACCAACGATTTTTCAGTGTAAGAGTATTAATTATACTGTGTAACGTTCATTTTAACCTTGAGATTACTCAATATCATTGCCTCAATGACTAACTCACCTACATATTTCATATATACATATATATAATAGATTTTCCGAATACATCTTACAAATATTAATGTTTCTCATAAGCAAATGTTAAATACCAACTGTTTTATTTTACCAGTAAGATCATATTAATCAAAAGAAATATGCACATATACACATATATAGAGCTAACTACAACATACTTAAACATGAATTATATCATAAACGTACATGTATATGTTTTGTTAGGTTTATTGAACAAAATATTCTTTTTTTTCAATTGGAATGTCTTACGAAAATAACTCATGACTGGTTAATGAGTGTAGACAAATATACTCGTCTGCATCAAATACATATGAAAAATTATTTAATATTGTAAATGACATCATTTTTATTTCTCCACTGTATCCCACTCTAGATTGTGAGAATAAACTTTATTGTTACTAATTTTAACGGTCAGATGTTTTGGTGTTGGAATTCATATGTGATCTAGTTACCTCCGCATTATAACGAATTTTTATTTTATTAAAAATCTAACTTTATAGAAATTCAACTTCATATCTAACCATGATCCCCACCCCAAATTTCATTACGAATACCATTAATGTAATTTACGTAGGATATCAAGTGATTAAAATTAAAAAACCACGAGGAAAAGTTACAAATATAGGGATATTTTAGTTGATTACCTGGCAGACATTCGTCGATAAACCATCTGTAAACAAATCACTCGTTCCATAGCATCAGTAAGAAAGTCAGAAAGCCTAAAAATGGAAGAAACAAAAAGATTGAAACGTTTTTCATGAAACGGGGGTATGTATATAATCTTCCAGACTGTTATATTCTACGGTCGAACTCAGACTGAATTGCTTCGTAACGCTTACCCGACCAGTTAAGTAACATGAGAAAACCAGGAGAGCACAGAAAACTTTACTGCCAAAGGTCAAATAAACGTATGCATCGTGCATATATATATATATATATATATATATATATATATATATATATATATATATATATATATATATAATGGAGCGATCCACATAAAGATACATGGGTGGTGACCTTGTTCAGATGAATAATTCACTTACTTATAGTAAATCCGGTTACATTTGAACATATAACTGATCATTATTTCCTTATGACAGCATGAAAGTTGTCTGGCTTTGCAGCAACATGTGGTCTTTTAGGAATCACTTAGGCTATAAACCTCCTCCTGTTCCTGAAAAGTCTTTCTCTTTGTATTTATTCTCACCAACTGATGTGAAAACACATCACAGACCATGTGCACATAATTATTCCATACATATTTAATGCCTCAATTTCATTCTCTTCCTTTCAACTATGACTCTTTGATTTAATCTTTCATTACGATTAGAGTTATTTTTTACATTCGGGTGATTGGATATTTGGCAACTTCAACCTGAAAGATATCTGTGCCAATTAATAAATTGCTTACATTACATTGTTGAGGAGCCCTACAGTGGGACGAAACGGCCATCTAGTGGTTATAGGTTTCAACGGTGGTCTAACTTAAATGAACTCCCAATTTCAACTGTCGAAATGTATTACAACTATTTGAAAGAATTTTGAAATCCTTTAGAAAGATAATCTTTTAAAAAAATTAATGATTCATTAACAGTCTATCTTCCAATAGACATACATTTTCCATATAATTACATATACGAATGTACAGCTTAAGTAAATGGTTTCGTCGAAAAGAAAATTTTCTTCGCTGAATTCTCTTTTTCTTATTCAATGACACTATGGGTTATTTTGATTATCATTAACAGTCATCGTCCATATCAGCTTCTTAACTAGCAATGTAATCAATCTGTTGTATGTGTACAAATTACAATGAAGTAGACGATATACTTCATGATACTGTTTTGAAGGATGAAGAAATAAGACACATTTTCTGTGTCGCAATTACTTATCCCTAAACTTCTATTCATCTTTCTTTAAAAAAGAAACTGTATAAATTTCTTGTGAGTGAATTTTGCAAAAAAAATAATAATGTAGATTGTTACAGAATTTCATTTTTCGACTGATAAAACAATAATAAGAGATCCATTTATAATCACAAGGTATTAAACATGTATTCAGTTATAATTTTTTCGATTCTCAATATTTCTTACTTGTTTTCTTTCTCTCTCCAAATCCCGTCAGTAATCTATGTCTTTTAAACGAAGCATCGTTGTCCTGTAAGAACATACACATATATACACTAATGAATGAATCATTGATAAAATATCTGTATACAGCTCCAATCAGTTCATTAACTAAACGTATGCAACTTCATTAATCTAACCAATGTGACCAACTGTATGTCGGTGTCTAGGTCAATTTGAGTATCAACAAGTACAGATTAGCGGGGTAAGTAATTTTTTTGACATTGTAGCAGTAACCGGTTCTAAAATGCTCTTCATTTTTTCACTCTCTGACTAGTTGATTTAGGATTTCAAACTATACAAAACTCTTCATAAAGCACCAATGTAGATTAGCTTTTGTTTGCTTCACAGTCATTACAAGCTGACGACTAACGCTGAGATGTATATAACTGTGAGTTATATGGATATTGATGGCTAAAAGTAACCATCTATTGAGTAAGCTAATCAGAAGTCATAGATATTTTAGGTGATCACAAAAGTCATTACTTTGTTTATCGAAAATATTAGATAGGAACAAACAGATCTAGGAGGGTTTCGAAAACAACACACACATCAAAGTAATTTTTTTTGGAAAAAACCCTCTGATAAGTGGTATAATAGGATTTTAGGATTTTATTCAACTTCAGAAAAACAAAATTGGAACAATTAGTAACCACCACAATAGACCACTCCTTCAGCAACATATATATATATATATATATATATATATATATATATATATATATATGAATGAAAAGTGAAAGCAGATGAAATTTACTTGATATTTTTATTTGATTCTTTTTCAGAACTGAATATTAATCGATAATGTTCCCAAGCTCGTTTACTATCTGTTTCTAGTTTCTCCAAACGTTTCGGTAATTCATCCCAATCAACTCGATGACAACGACATAATGCTCCTAATTCCGAATGTAAATCTGCAGAGGAAAGAAAGTGGATAAATGACCTGTATAGAACTAGTAATTGTTTTACATTCTCCTTTTAAAAGCCAAGCAGGATAGTGTTCCGAGATGCATTTTATACATTTAATTAGCATTTAATTAATTGTGGACACATCGCTCCACAAGATTCTTCTTTTAAAGTAATCTACAGAGTCAAAGGAACTGGATCGAAGGGGTATCGAATCAATATTTTGTGTACTGTTAAGCATTGGCAATCCACGAAATCAGGTCTGAACATTGCGTGCAAAAACGATTCATCCAACTTCTCAACCTTCCTTGGCCGTAATTCCCTTAATAGGTATGTTTCTGGGTTTATTTTACATGTCTTTCTGAACTTTTATTTGATTATTATTGAATTTTGTTAAAAATTTATTATTTTCCAATTTTAAACTGTAATCAGTTATTATTATTACCTTATACAAGTTTTCTTGATTATTATTCAGTTTATTATCATGACCTTGTGTTTATCGCTTTTCTTCATATTTGTGAATTCGAATATTAGCTGACCCATAAACTATTTTCGTCCTTACCCCTTGATTAGTACGTAACCTCATTTGATTAAATCTTTTCTATTCTCCTATAGACATGTATTATCCAGACAACTATATATACGAATGTACAGCTTAATTAAATCATCGTTGAATAGTTTTCTGTGGATTTAAAGTCAAAACCTATCCTTGATTACATTACTTTAGTTTTTCAACTATGGCACTGAATGAATTAGTTCAAATCTCCAAAGAGTGATTAACATTTTTGAGATTACAGGTACACACACCTGGTGAAGTGGTGACCAGTATGGAGTCCACATTTAGGGTTTTCCATCAATAGCTTTCAAGCATATAACATCGTAATGTTATGTTATCTAATTAGTAGTCAAATTATAAACTTGATCGATAGAGTTGATCATTACTATATGATGTTATTTACTGCACTTAGTGAGATTTATGTTAGTAAAAACATCTATAAGTGAAAAGTTATTAGTAATAATATATTTATTAATTACTAATATTGCTTATGCAAACTAGAAAATTAGTGAATAACTTACCTGTACTATCAGGAAATTGGTCCAATACTATAGAGCATACGTGATGTAACAAACTATTCTTATATTTCGTATCTTTAACTTCAGGTAACCGACCTAGATAATCCAACGTAAATCCTCTAGCAGTTGAACCATTTAAAAAATTTCCAATAGACAAAAGAACGGATAGAATATACCGTAAAGTTTTACAATTGATAAGTTCTATAACAGCCTATTGATAAAAATAGAGAGTATGGGGAAAGTAATAGGTTAGTTAACTTTCGTCTAAAATAGCTTTCCATAATGTGTAGAACTAAAAAACGGATCTTTATATCAGATACATATTTAACTGGTGGGGAACTAATTGAAACCAAAGAACACTGGGAAACTGAAATCGAAAACTGAAGTGGGACCCGGTTCAAGTCCTGTTGTTAGCAACAACACTAGGGGTCAGGTACGTCCAGTTGACAAGTCCCGAATATGTAGAAACCCGCACCTTAGATTTTACCGTTTGTCGCAATCTATACACGACTAAGTTAAGAGTTAGTGGCTAAATAGTTGAAAATAAATTTCCACAATTAAAATCAACACATTTGACTCAAATATTATGGAATACAGTATCGAATTTCAAGCTGATACAAGTTTACGACCTTTAAAAATATCTAACTTAACATGAGGTCGAATTCATCTCCAGAGTATTTTAAATGTGACTAGAAAAACCGGTTAGTTTGGTCCTACACACAACTTGAAAGCTGAGAAAACTATATCAACAAAGCTAACTGGTACAATCAAATGGCATATACCCATTGATTAAGTAGAATTGCACACACCGTTCCATGTAGACTTGTTGTTCGCCACATTGTTGTTTCGCAAATTAAATGTCATCATTAATATAATATCAAAGAGTAAATGCTTTAAACAGTTTTAGCACAACTTTTTTCCTCCCTGTTTATTAAAAAACACTTAGTGTACATTGATCAAATTAATTAATTAATCATATGGAATAACATTTAAAATATGTTCTAATTCACAAGTAACAGTAGATTACAATTACCTGTTTTAAATCATTTAACGGTTCAGCTATTTCTTTTTCATTCTGTTCATAATCCAATTTGAATAACCATAATTCTAAACGTGGCTTTAAATGACTTATTGCTGACAATGTAACAAGAAATTGTTCAGCTTGTCCAAGTGGTAATCCATCTTGTTCTGCTTTTGCTTTCATTATAGCTTCACATTCTTCATCTGTTGGTAGCATTGTTGTTAAAAGTTTCTAGTAATGACAATAATTACAAATATAAACGTTACGAAGCGATATAGTATTAGTAATAATAATAAATAATGATAAGTTGTATAGTGTATAATAATGAATTCGAAGAGAGATGATTATTATTCCTGTAAAACCTATTAATAGATGATAACTTAATGATAAGAGTATCTAAGCTTACATCAGTAGGTTGTTGGTTAAAATCCCAATCCACTCACCCCACCTTTAAGCATCTAACTAGTCCAAATAGACGAATACATAAATCAATTACTTGAAAAAATTTATTAAGATGACAGACGATAAAAATGTAACTTATTTTTATTTGAACACAAAAATTGGTACAAGGGGGCATCAAATACATATGCGCCACACAATAACATCGAGACCAGTAGTAGTTATCAGTGATTTGTGTGAGGGCTATGATACCTCCCGGGTCCCCAAACCGATGCAGGATAAAACTTAAAAGTGTAGCACAAAATAATTTTTGATTACATACTTAGACAACCAAAGAGGTATAATGATCTTTTATGAAGTTTTTATGTATACTAACATGGTGTTTAGTTTACTTGTGAAGTGGTCTTAATGAAATGCTACATATATAAGCTTAATATGTGTTTACCGAATTCATTCATTCCTATTAATTAATAATACATCGTAAATTCTAAATGGATAAAAGTAAGATTAAATAAGTAAATTAGATGATGTGAATTTCCCCTGTAAAATGTTGATTTCTGCACACAACAAAGAATAGGAACGAACCTTGATGTTGTGAACGAAGGTCATTTGATTTGTGTAATATTTAATTATATAAACAGGCATATTGTCTAGTTCTTAGTATTTAGATAATCATATCTAGTTGACTAATAATATGATCCTTAAATACTAAGAATTAAGATGATGAGCTAAACTCCATAACTGTAATCATATCTTATAGATAAGAAACCTTTTGTATGGTATTATATCTAAATGGTATGATTCAACTTCAATTCTTATTAATCACTAAATATATATGAAATAAAATATATTCCTGGTAATTGCATTTAAATATAAAACATTATTTATTAAATTTCGATAATGTAATAAGAAGACGAAGATTATCAGAACAATGTGATGATATATTAGCCCAATACCTTTCGAACAATCTAGTTACACATTACATACTTGTTAAGAACATTTATGGTGGTGTTGTATAAAAGTGTAAAATGACGTGTACTAAGGTTTATTGAAGCCTTAGCCATACGAAAGTTCAAACCTCGTTTGTGTATTCGAAAACAGTTTATTCTCACCTTCAACCTACCCTGGTAATATTAGATTATTATCCGGAGTGATTAGGTTTCAAATTGTGTTCACATTACTAATCAGAGTAATAGTAACTCTGATTATTAACCTTATTTCCTCTTACTCCATTTCCAGTCTAGTTGACCATTTATTTTCATATATAAGTGCTCTTAACCAGTTTATGTGTGATCAGATTGTTCGAAATGTATTGCGCTAATATATCACATAGGTCTGATAATCTTCGTCTTCTTATTACACCACTGAAATATATTAAAAGGACTAATCGCTTTAAATTATTTAATAAAACGAATTATTTCGTAATTCATGTATTATCATGGTGTGTTCTCATATTTATAAGATGGATAGTGGCTAGCGGCGGAATCCAGGACGCGCGTTTCGTTCTATGTGGGACTTGTCAGCTGGATGTACACGCATCTCAGAGTTGATGTTCACTCTGGGACTCGAACCAATTACTGTTCGCTTCAAACGCCATCGCATCATCTACTTAGCTACTGAGTCCTGATAGCCAGTTGCTTGTGCAATGAGGTGAAGTTTAAATTCACTTGATATTGTTTACTTGAATCTTCCCATTGATGTTTAGGACTGCAATTGATCAGTTTCGTATTGGCATATATGCATCCTGTGCGTATCACCTCGATATTGCCTTAATTCACAAATAGGACGAAACTCACATCCTGGAATCCACTGCTAGCCACTATCCATCTTTGCATATAATGCTTGTGAATTAAAGCGATATCGAGGCAATACGCATAGTATGCACATATGCCAATAAGATACTAATCAATTGTAATCTTAAATATCAATGGGATGATTCAAGTAAACAATAGCAGTTTAGATATTTACTTTTGTTTTAACGACAACATAAAAGAAAACTGATTTTAAAAAAAGATATTTATTATAAACATAAAAAGTGAAATCTAAATTAAATTTACCTCGATACCCTCTCTATTTATAATTGAATGGTCCATTTTTAAAATTGCAGAACTGATTGTACGCGGTGGTGGTAAAACTTTTAAACCAATATTGATTGCATTTGAACGTTTCATGTCTAAAACTTCAATTTTTTTGACAGCCACCTCTTGTTTCTAAATAAAATAAATGGTGTAAATATCAAATGAATATATTTCCAAACTGTCACCAAATATATAGGCACAATCTATAATATATCAGAGATTCCACAGTCCCCCCCATATATCTAGTTTGGATCACAGGAATCGGGAACTAATCTATGTAAAAGCAGTCAAGAGGGAGATGGGGTTAAGTAATGTCAACTGAATAGATTAATAGACGGTTAAAGCATACTAAGGGATTATAAAGTTATATGAATAGATGGTTTAAAAAAACAACCATCAAAATTACAAACGAAGAAATGTCCATTACAAAGAAAAAGAAACTGATCACTTATTAATATGTGTTAGAAAACAAACAAATTTTTTTATCATTTCAATGAAATTGATATTATTTCAATGTTGTTAATGTAATTAAATGATGGTTTACAAATTTACGTATTATCATATTATTTAAAACAATTAATTCCTATGATAGATATTTAAATAATGAAATGAAAGTATATCAGAACTATGAGATATTGGTTAGCACAATATATTTGGGACAATTCGACCATACATTTACTTATTAAACTAGATAAATTGGACGATTAAATGACAGTACAGAATACAGATAATATGGATCACACTATGCTGAATAATAATGGTATCAAGGTGAGTTTAGTGTAAGTACAAATTGAGATCATATCAGGAGAATGCATTATGACATAGCAAAAAATAAGTAAGTCTGAATGTTGTTTTTAACTTCTAAGTTGATGAGTGATCTACAAAGGCAATATCTTATAATCATATACGTTGTTAAATATATCAAACATAAGTGTGTACATTTTGTTGTAAGAAATAATTATTCTTGTCAGCCAATTGTTCCATCTTAAGATTCAAAATCATGAATATGAATATCAGACATACTTTGAATAATTAGACTTTCAGTGTGGACAGTAATAATTGATGCCTTCTATGCCTACCATTTCACAAATAATTGGCAGCAATTCACAAGTATATTAAATACACAGACAATTATTTGATAAAATTGGGATTGATTTTGTAATTCTTATTAATAAAAGGGTAAGGTTTTATACTTTTATTCTACTACAAAAAATTTTCACTGAGATTCTTTTTTTAAAAAACTTGACAACATCGATTTTATAGCTTTTTTTTTATGATATTCATGCTTAGAATTAGTAGTATATACCGAATACTTTTGAGATAATACATCAGACAACTAGTTTGAGAAGCTTATGGTGTTTTCATCAATTAGAATACAGCCTAAACATAGGTCGATAGCAATCATGGAACCAAGGATATAGAACAAATAAGAAAACATTTTTTTAGATTATTTGGTCACATTGTAGTTGTGAGATTGAGTATGCACTACTGAAAAAATTCCCAAATACGTATGAAAGAGTTGAGCGACGTTCTTGTTTTCAAAACTTCATTTAGCTGATGTTGTTAGTTCATGACGAAAGCAAGTAGAGTGACTGAACTATTTCGATGTTTGACTAAATTAGTTTAAGTCTTGACGTTAAGCTTACAATTGATTGATCACCAAGTAGTGACGAATATTATGTACGTCAAGTGTTGGTTGAATCCCATAGATCAAGTATCAATGTGATCACTAGTCTAAGTGACTCGATAAGTGATTGGAAGTAGCCTGAGAAAACTCTGATTGACCGAGGTTTCGTGCTATTTGGCACTCATCAGCAAGGTGCACCTATATTCTTGATGAGACTGATGCACCCCAGCGGATTCGAACCCACATAACTCAGCCTCGCACTTTTAGACATTATGCTAAGCTTTAAAAAGAAATGAAACTAAACGATTTACACTCCTCAAAAAATACACGGAATCCTCAATTTCACAATGAGAGAGCTTCATGTTTTTTACCATTCATTCGAATATTCATTGTTTTATTATTTTCTAATAGGCAATAACAAGTATCCAATAAATGATAAAAGGAGAGGAAACGTAAAAAAGAAAAGAAACAATTCACACAGGAACATTTAATATCTCAACATTATTTCAATAGAAAACGCATCAATATCGTTATTATCATCATTGTTCAGTTTTAGGGAAAGCATTCGATCACTGATTTTAATCTATACACGCAAAACTATTTCCATAAGTAATCGAGAACTACTGAACAATTAAAACGAAGAAATAGGCTTGTAAAAATAAAGAGGCACCAAACAAAAAACAATAGCAACTGTATTAAACACAACAAAATTTATGGTCAGACTACATCTGCAGACCATAGTGTTTTTTAGTTAAGTAAATTACTTGGTAAAATATGAAGAACAAATTATTGAAAAACAATAAAACTAAACATTTCAACAGTTGAATTCATGAGTCAACCTAAGCTAGACCACAGTTGAAAACCCGAGTTCATTGGACAGCCATTTCATCCTAGTATGGGACTTTTCAGCAGTGCTCATCCACGACAATACACACTGGACTCGAACCAAGACCCTTTGGTCTCGCACACGAATGCCTAACCTTTAAACACTGAGCTGGCATCCAACAGTGTTCATGTCTAACTTCAATCGATCCATGCTCTTGCGCAAACCTCTATTCTGAAAACTAAACATTGTTAAATTTTCACACGAATACACATAGACAATAAAATTGTCACTGAATTCATGACAAAATGAATAAAGAATATAAAAAATTAAAGGCAACAAACAAATGAGTGATCATTTCTTCTAAAAAAAGCAATATATTATCAGTTTTCTGTTTTTCTTAGAGACATTAGATGATTCATTAGAAATTTATTACACATACTACTACTGAATAAACTGTTAATTTTTCACATCGTAAGAAAGTCATGAGTACTTTAAGAAAATGATGATAATAAATAAATTAATGTTAAAATTAGAGGCGAATTCAGCATACATACATAAATATTTACAAATAGATACATTTAATCGACAGAATTGTTGTTGCTATATTTCATGCTTTTGTGAATGAAATGTGACTCAAACTTATATAGTATATTTATTACGGAGTAAACTTTATCGAAAGAAAATGTCCATACACTATAAAATTTAAAGGAATTCCAAATTAAAGATAGTATGAGGGAGTAGTTTGCATTAAAACTGGAATTTACTTAAAATCATTTGATCACACACACACAGTTAGTTAATGATCAATAATAATAACTACTGAATATATTTTCATGATAGAATACGTTGAAAATAACCAAAGTAGTAATAAAGTCGATAGTGATAATAATAAAATGCTTATTGTGAACTAAAGTCTTGCAATAATACCAAGTTGAAAAACTAATATAATGTCATTTGAACTATGAATAACATATAGTACTTAGGAAAAGATTCCATCCAGGATAAGAAAATCATTAAGAATTAATGTAGATTTTTAAAAATAATAACCCATTGTGTCATTGAATAAAAATAAAGAGAATTCAGCGAAGATTATCTTTTCGACGAAATTCTTTACTTAAGTTGTACAGTTGTATTTATAGTTGTTTGGTAAATATATAAGTTAGTGTTGGCGATCCACCAATTCAATCCCAGCAATAATTGTTTTATCTTATTGAAATGGAAAACATCATTCAGTAAAAAAAGATAATTTTTCTCTCCGCCTAAACTTCTTCAGTGTGAAATGATTTGAAGCATTCAGATAGTAAGAAAAAAACATTGTTTAAGACATTTTTCAATCACATAATCAGTTCACAGAAAATTGCAAGTTAATATTGCCATCTAGTTTGATCAAATTACAATTAAGTGATCTTTAACTAAGCAATAGATGTCAACCAGTGACTCGAGGAGAATATAACACAGTCAAATTGTAGTTAGTTTAACTAGACTGCGTTGCACTTACTGGGATTATTCTAAACTATGAGATCAATTGCCGTAGGCACTCAGAGTCCTAGAATAATATATATATATACTGTTTAGATTTCAAAAAATCGCCAAATAATGATAGTTCATGAGAAAAATTACGTTGAAATTCCAAAAGAGGAGAACATGTTAAAAATTAAATCAAGGAATAACGATATGATCAGTATATGGACTTGTGGAGATCGCAATATTCAATCTAAGTAAAACCACCATTGGACACCTGAAAGCACTGGATAGCAGTTTCGTGGATGCGCACTGCTGAGGAGTCCCACACTAGGACGAAACGGCTTCCCGGTTTTCATTGGTAGTCTAGCTTAGATTGGCTTGTGAACTCAACAGTTAAAATAAAGACATTTTTGAATGATTTACTAAGACGTTCTGTATTCAAATGCATTCGACTGTCCTCGATTGTGTTCTCGTTCACTATAGTACAATCTCTTCACTTGAATTATGATCAATTTTATTATTCAGGACAGAAGAAAGAGTTCAAGAAAAATTAATGTTTATTGTCGGAAATTGTTGGTTATAACCGAAGATATTCACAGCTAGGCAGTGTACCACTCCCATGCCACACCGATAAAATGGATTGATAGCAATTTGGCAACTAACATAATGGATGTGTAAAGTATTATTACTATTATTAGCAAGGTGATCACCAGCTAGTTAAAACATGAAAGTGAACAAATCAAAATCCAAACTAGATGTCATTTAAAGAAGTTAAATGGTTTAGATACTAAAATAAATGTCAATTAGTTTTTTTAACTAAGAGTAATTATAATATGACATAAAAAATCCTTCCTTGGCTACTTCTCCTAGATTGTTTCTGAGTTTAAAGTAAGGTATTATAAGCGACAAGTAGATTTGGTTGAAAATGCGTAACATGATTAACAGTGTGTATTTCATTGATATCTACTTATTGATATAAAAATGTTTTATTTCATTGTCTGTATATTCGAAAGAATTTTGGTAAAAATAACTTCAACGTGTCAAATACTTATCTCGGTGTGAACAATTCTGAACACTTCGATATTAAATTTAAAGAATTAGTGAAGATGAAAAGAAACAAACTGGACGTTCATGTACAGATCTATGAGCTACACATTTTATGTAAGTAATAAATAAAAGATCCTTACTATATATATATAAAGACGTGCATAATTTCAGGCAATTTAACAAGTAAACTTTACGATGTTATTTTAGAGTCGTTGAAACAAGAAGAAAAAATGTATTCCAAGATATTCTATAAGTGTGTATTGAACAATGACTCTGTGTATTGTTAAATTACAATGACCGAGATAATGTGACATTGAACAAACTACACTACAGTTTATGTATGTAGAAATACTTAAAAAATATACAAATATATCGGCATACATAGTTATCTGTAGGGAGGGGAACATACAATAATGGATATATACACAAAAGTAAAACTATATGGGACATACTGGTAACAACATTGTGTGCTTCGTTCGGAGATGTATATATATACATATATATTTGGTTATAGGGGATCTAAAATTCTTTCAATGTTAAAATATTTCATAATAAATGAAAATCTAAGATACAAGCAGCTATCTCAATCTATTCAGTAAGATAATTAGTAAACGCACCAGTTAACGAACACAGACATAAACAAGTTGCACATTAATCGGTACATGGTATAACATCAATCCACACACAAGGGTTGATAATGAATAAATGTACATCTTATAATAAAACGATGCTAGTATATTAACAACTTATATCAATAATGACATGTTTAATGTAAAACCTATATATAATAACAAATATACTTTGTGTATGTATATATTGTATATAAAACGGTTCATGCACTTACCATATCCTTTTACAAGTGTATTTCATTAAAATAACAATTATGTAAAGTATTAGAAAGCAAATATTAAATTAGGAAATGTTTAATGAATATATGAAAACGGTAAAGACAATAAGGGTGAACAATTGGGAGTACGTAGAGAAAGAAAGTAAACCAACGTGTTTCATGCAAATGATAGATTTTCCAATTGGTTCACATTATTATTACGAATATTTCAAATAAATGTCAATGACATTATTTAATTGAGAGTATTCTCAATGGGAGTTTATCGATATACATATCTATGATTAAGCATTAATCGCTGAATGAAGTGTATAAATTATGTGTCAAATTTAAAACAATAAAAAAATACATGTTTTAAGTAAAGTTGGATATTCATTAACAGTGGAATCTAGGATGCACGTTTCGTTCGATTTGGGAGTAACTAGCTGGATGTATAACAAATATTAGTTCCTTCAGTCTATAAATCATTGGCTGAAAATCAAACTTTTATTGTGAATTAATTTAAAATGTGGATTCGAATACACTGGTATTTACTTACTACTGTGTATGTCAAACGTACTAGTGATAGAGGAGTTCGTCGTTAAACGACGATTCAGGACTCTGTTTTTCATAACGTTTTCAATGTTCGATACATGAGTTGTATTCAATGATTACATCCATTTTCTATTTGTTTGGTGGCTGAGTGTTGTATATTAGAATGTAGTTTTTATTCAAGAATCCATTTCAAATACTAAGAAATTAATATATTCGTGTTTTTCATCCATAATGCTGAACAGAGCTACATTAACACGCTTCTGGCAGACGGTTGTGGCTAACTCCTTGCCAGTCTCTTATTATAATCATTTTTACAAGTGCTTCGTTCAACATCTGATCAAAGTATGATAACTAGTTTAACATTAAGAAGTGAAAACATCTCCCTCAAGGAACGGACAAACAAATGAATCGGCACTACAAGAACTCATCTGAGAATGAAAATAAATGTTTCATTCATTAAAAGGGAGCTGAATAATTGGTAATCCGATTATCTATCACAATAAGTGTTATGCTTATTGAAGAGTCTTGCACTTATAGTGTAGAGATTATGATATGAACAAAACAATCCATAAACGATTAATTAAATATTACATATATCCGTTTAAAGCTTAATAAATTAAACAAATACCTTTATTTTTATGTCAGACGAACGATTTTCAAATGTTTCTTCCAAAAAATCCGGATCTAATTTCACTGGAACAATTTCAGACCAAACTGTAGCATTCGCAATAGTTTTCACGTCTCTTTTCACTTCTTTTGTTTTGTTATTCGATAAAGCAGAAGTGAATCTACTGCCTATACCCGTAGCTTTATCTGGTTTATCACATGATGATGAAAACTTAGTTGATGCGATCATTTTTAAGTCTTTTGCAGTTGGTTTCCATTCAGTCCAGTGAAGACGAATAGTTTTCTTTGACTTAGGCAACTCTGTACCAGGAGCTGGTGGAAGATTCGAAGGTATACTTGGAGATTCACTAGCTCCAGGAGCTGGTGGTGGTGGAGGAGGAGCAACTCCTAAAATAGAAAGAAAAGATGAGATTTATGTGTGGAAGCTAAACATACATGGATAGGGATTGATAGGATGGTTAAAGATCTAGTTTAACAGTCAGATCTTAATCGATTGAAAAATAAGTGACCTACAAGCTAATTTCCTCAAATCGCCTACAACATTTTATTATGTTTACTTAGTGTTCGTATTCTGCATATAAGTGTGTTATTTTATTGCATAAAATCTATTCATCTGGTTAGTAATCTTGCTTTTAATTTTTAATTATTCGAGGGCTTACATTAATAATTCATTTTTGTGAGTAGCCAATACTCGGTCATATTTCGTCATATTGCATTCATCAATCGATTAATATTTTGTTCGCTGTTTTGACGACCGAAGTTTCATCTCATAAATAATTAAAAACTACTCCACAATACAGGGGTAAACATGAATTAAGCACTTGTGCAAGAAAATATACAGCATGTAATAATTTTATTTTTCACATGATAAGCTTATTTAACATTGAATTTTAGAAAAGTTGCTTTTGCCGCGACGGTATCATTAAATCAAAAGTAAAGGATTAAATAATTTCAATTTTTCCGCACTAAAAAGTTCTAAACAATAAAGTAGAATGACTGAATTGATGAAATATAATGCTAACAAAATTATTAATATAAGTATTACGGTCACCTGAAGCAGTTGGAGGCGGAGGCGGGGGTGGAGGGGGAAGACCACCTCCAAAAGGTGGTGGTGGTGGCGGCGGTCCAGGACCTAAAAATCTAGGTGATTCTTTACCATCCTCTTGTTCTTCGGCTTCAAGATCAGTAAAGTCTAAATCTTTCAGACGAAGTGGCCGTCGTTTAACTTTATCCAAACAACGTTGCCAAAACGTTTCCACATTTGTTTCTGATTCTCCTAGAATTGAACTGGCTGGTGTAGTTGTTTGTTCTGTATTTACCTGTTAGAAAATGAACTATCTGATCAGACGATATCAGAAGATAAAGTATGGTCCATTATAAAAATCAGGTACGCCTCAATAGTCTTACAGATGAGTCCCAATTAACTAACTTATTAGTTGTAAACTGAATAGATTTTTCAAGACCGTTATTTGACAGCTGAATAGTTAGTTATATCACCCAACTGACCGGTTCTTATTTATGACTTTATTCACTAATCAATAGGCAACAATTAGCCAATTGATCTTGTAAACTAATTGAGACAAATACACAATAACTCAAATCGATTGACAGAATAATGGTTCTGACCAGTGGTATACACCGATAAGTGGGTAGGTAAGAACAAGTAAGGTTTCTTTAGCAATAAAAGTATATGTAAAAAGTCGCTACCATGAGTATATTTATTACTGAGTAGAGTAATATCATTAATATTGACAACAACAAGAAAACTGTATATACTCACATTTTATGAAAGGGGATAGAGAATAGAACAAACAGTGTGAAAAAATTAGCAAAATTGGTCGAAAGGGTCAAATGAAGACAATACTCAGCTCCATTTTATCACACATGGTCAACAGTGGTCATATAGTAAATAAAACTAAATCATTTCAAGTGATCTACCGCTTACAATCATCGTTTCTCAACGGCGTTCGATTTTATCTCCTACATATAGCAGAAGTTATAAGAATTCGAAACTATCAGCCATCCTTGATAGGTCAGGATTAAATAAACGATTTCATTAATTTTCTAAATGAATTTCTACCTATTTTTCTTCAGCCGCTTATATATATCCCCACTATCTGATTATCTGCAAACTTCTCATGATGTAATTTTAAGGATTTTCTATAATCGTATTTTTTTAATGTCTGCTCTCCAAACTTATGACCTACTTCCTAGACTGAAACAATGATCTATGCTCCTATTATTCTCGTCAAAACTAGTATACTTGTTGTCTTAATATTAGTTAATACCTTTTGTTAATTATGATTAGTTATGTAATTTAATTCATAATTATCACTGACTTACAAACCAAATCCATTGTTTTAATATTTTTCATCTATATGGATGTAAGGATTGCCGCATACTAGACTAAAATCTGATGAAGATCTAACTGAACTATTATTCTAATTTACTCGATGAAAATTTTTATGATTTTGAAAAACTAACCTTTTTAGGAGATACTAAAGAGCCAGGAGAACTTGGTGGTTTTGTTGATATCCCTGATTCAAAACGATCTTTGACCGACAAAATTTTACCAGTACGTTCACGTGGTAGCTGAGGTTTAACTGGTTCCTCAGTCTATATCACGAATATAAAATTAAATTCACGAAAAATTAGAAAAATATTATCACAAAGAAAGGATTAAATAGTTTTATCTAAAATAGCGTCGAATTGAATTTTTAATTCAGAACATGAGAATAAGTTATACTTTGAGCTCAGATAATACCACATTATGCAACATCCTCATCCGGAGCTACAAATTTCTGCTATCATAAGTCATTTTTATTATTGAATATAACACGAGATAGATATAAATAGCCATGGTCTTGGTTACTGCTAAAAGAAACAAATATTTTTTCTCATATGATCTTTAAGATTTATTTAAAAACCAAGAATAAAAGAGATAAGAATAATCGAAAAATAGGATGGAATTTAACGGTTAAAACCTAGTCGATCTGAACAAAATGCCTTTAGAAATCCTCTTTCATTCTTGTAGTTTTTCTGATCCAGGATTTTGATGGTCCATCAGTCGAAATAATGTCCATGGTTATATGGATGTTTCGTATCAGTGATAGCAGATCATGACATCTCACTGCTAATCTATTGGTTAACCTGTCACAAAAACTGATCTTAATTCACATCAATAAATGGAAACCTCTCAATTCAACATTAATCTCATATTACCACAAATGAATATATTGATCTGGTAAACAAGCTTTTCAGTTCATTTAGAGGCTTTTTGTTGATGTTATGTCTTTTGAGTTAGATAATTGAATTATAAAGCTTTCATAGTCTTTTTGAACAACGAAAGTTTTACAAATAAAGCTTCTAGCTCAGAGATTACAACATCAACAAATGGATAATATTTATACATTGTATAAAATAAATAAAGTAAAACAATGAAATTAGCAGAGATAATATAAGTATCAATGAAAACCAACTAACATTTTCAAATGATGAATGTTTTTCTTTTAATAAATGCACTGTTCCAGTTGTATTGGATAAAGTAACTGATGGTGGACTAATCGGTGTAGAATGTTCAGATTGTTTTTGTGATGCACGATTAAGTGCTTCTATTTTATTCTTTAATGATCCAGCAATTGGACTATCAGGTACAACGATAGATTTGCCTTTCACATCATCCATAGATTCAGCTTGAAATAATAAGCATATAACAAAATATAGAGATAAATAAATTTAAATTAAACATTTAAAAATAATCAAATTACTTCTAACTATCCCTAAACCGATCAGGTAGAAAATTGAACCATCCCAAAAATAAGAAGAGAGCGAGCGAGAGCAAGAGGTAGAGAGAGAGCGAAAATAAAGTTTGTATTTGATAAATGTAATTTATTCGTATTCGCATGACGAACTATCAAATATGCTCACATCAAAAAAATAATAATAAGTAAATTTCGATGGAAAAAAGCAACAATTTAAGTGATACACATATTTTCATAATAGCAATACAAGCCATTATCATGCAAGCATTAAGCATTATTCAAAATAGTGTTATAAGCTTGTAAAGCTCTTTTCATATTTATTTTACAGTTTATAAATTTATATAAAATAATATGAAAATATCGAACTCATTTATACTTGCATTAAATAAAACTTTACATGATAGTGATGTAATGTAAAACTTTGATGATAGTTTATTTGGTTACAAGTAAAGCTAAAATAAAAATTTCGTTTTTAACAATAAAAGAAAACATAAACAAGAAATATTAAAAGTAAACATGACTGGGTTAATTATTATTAATTAACTAATAATTCATTGATTGATTGAATAATCATAATGACAAGATGTCCTTGAGTTATGTAATTGTGTATAGAATATATGAAGAAAAGTACAGCTAGAATATTGAAATTGTATAAACTAAAATAATAAGTTGATAATATAGTGTTGTTTTTTTCATTAAAAAATTAGGTCCTCATCGGGCTTTATCCTTAAAAAGGAGAGTTATATATTTTTTATACAAATAAAAAACCCAACATTGATTCACTTTGTATAAATTATACATTACGTGAGGACAATGATGGAGGAGAGTATACAATGACTGAAGATCTTTCGTGAACTCAACGGGTTTCGAGCCCATAACCCCGCGTAACTCACTAGGAATAATAATAATAATAGTAATAATAATAATAATAATAATATAACTCCCCATTTCATTGACGTAATATTAAATTAAATGTTATTTATCCAATGACTGATAAAAATTTAGGTAAAGTGTTATAATGACCAAAATGGTTTATCACCATACAAGTTGTTTCTTGTTAACTTATGAAGCTATATTATATAGAAGTTGGGATTGTTTAGCATATTGGTCCCTTGAATTAGAAACTACTTGGGCGGGTGAATAATAGAAAATAAAAATCTAAAGCACATAATAATGTGATAGTGATTAATCATTATAATTACTTATAGTGGTTGTTTATGACAATGTTAAGTGGTTAGAGGTAGTTGATAGAAGACCTTGCATCAGAATTTTGTGTTAGTTATCACTCGTCATCAAAGCATATCTGTAATTTCGAAAGAGACTATATTTCCTACACAATTCAAAGCTGCATCACCTGACTTAACAATCTGAGACGTCATCACTACATCAAAATCATGTAGAGCTGAGATAATTAAGATTGATTAATCAATGGGTAATGGTTAATGTCATATTTACTTAATCCTTAGCATTGATCAAACTTTACCTAGCATTTAGGATGAACCCTAAGTCCAGGGATTCATGTCGATAGCCTCCAGGCATTTAACATCCGGAAATAGTACACATAATATCTAGTCACTTTAACTATTGACAACTGTACAATGTGATCAGTAGAGCCTTATCAGGGATAAAGGATCAGATCAATATGGAGATTTAATTGTTACTGTTCACTAGCTAACTGATTTGTTATTGATATTAGGTCATTGATTGGTTGAAATCTTATGAATATCATTCATTGATGATGATGAAAGACCTCGGTTACTTCACGAATTTTCGTGTGTGTGCAGAATACAATGCTAGACGTTTCGCCCTCCCAATTTACTACGTTTCTATGATTGATTTCTTTCTGCAAAACATTTTCGTAAAAATGTGAGATGGACGGACAGTTAGTAGGAGTGATGCATAACTCAGAGTCTTGTCATATTCGTTGGTTTTTATTGATTAAACTGTAACAACTTAAAATGAGTGGGAAACAAAATCTGACTATAATGTAGGATATCAATATCAACATTGGAAGTAAAATAAATTGACATAAATCACATTGTTAGTTATGTATTGTTAACAATTTATAACATACTCCTAAATTCACAGTTGGAATACATTTAATTTGGAAACTCCTACAACCTAGAATTTTTTCTATTGATTAAAATATAACAATACATACTCATCTCACTTTTTTGAGTATTAAATTCTTTGTTATTCACTTCTTCTACATGTCCATTATTTACAGATACATCATGTGAATTTTGTGACATCTCATTCCCAACACTTTGATTCATTCCATTCTCTGTATCTAAGGTACACTTTCGATCTGATTCTATGTTGATTTCTTCATTAAAAGTAAAATGTACCACATCTTTAGTAGAGTACTGATGATCTGAACTTGAGTTTAATTCGGTAGGTGTTAGATTTTCATCTCGTTCGATAATATCAAAGGTTGAGTTTATGTATTCAAGTGTAAACACACTTGTTGAATTTGTATCTGTAACGTCTAAATGGGTTAAATCAACCTCCTTTTCAGGATTTTCACTGGTATTATCTGAATTAAAGAAAATATGGTTACTGTAACATAGAGATACTACTAAAAAGTGTATTGACAACATCTAATGTTGAGTATCATTAAAAAGGTAGATATATAGGCATTATTATTGTTATGTGTAAACACATTGATCGTTAGGAAACATTATGGATCTATATGACAAGTAAATTTCAGGTGCATAATAGTTAGTGAATACTAATGATTTTGTTAGCAGTGCATTGCATAATTATTAAAGAACATAAAAAATTTCCACTTGGTGATTAAGTTATTAAAAAGGAAAAACAACGATCTAACCCCAAAGAAAATATAAAATTCGTAGTCTAATATGAAAAACAACGGTCATTCTAACAGCTAGTTAACCGACTTAGAATGAAAACTGAGAGGAACCAGTTATATTTTTGGTTTGCGTTTGGATGGCATCATGTACCACTAATGTAGAGGAGGAGTTTTAAATTGGGATGGAATAAAATGTGAAGTGATTTTTGCTTATCAGTACTTTTCCTAAAATAACTTTAGTTCGTGATGTAAATCCACTTCTAATGGAACAGTTCTTACTGATCCTTAACTCAGTGATAACAATGTTGACAAAAAATAAGATATAATGTAGTTTATTCGAACGTATAAATACTAATCTTCTTCATTGGAGAGAAATTGCAGATAAGTAATACAAACGAAATTTACGATTCGTTGAATTCCAATTCTTTCTTCTCACCAGTGATGTGATATGATAAAGAAATCATGACGAATAACAGAGGCCATTTTGGAGGACATTATTTCACTTAATGCAGAGTCTGTAAAATATTAAGATATAGCTTTGTCTCTAGGTTGTTCTATAAACCATACGCTTTCGTTTGATGTATGATTCTCTGCAATGATCTTTTCTGTTCGAAAGCGATTGTGATTTAAACCTAACATTTTGTACTCCATTTTTCTACCTTAATGCTTAGTTTGGACAAAGTTGTATTTTTCTAAATGTTTGTACGTTGTGGTTGTGTTAGTCATCTATTTATAACATAACTTTTCACATGAATCTGAATCAAGAATAAGTCAAGTAGTGTACCAGCTGGCTCGTTTTCTCTCTTTCTCACTTGTCAACCAATCAGGTGATAGGAATGTTTTCGTCTCTCTGATTGAGAGTGTTAGTCTCAATTTGGACTCACGCATTTCTAGCTTCAAGGTCGAACTAGTTAGCCTATAGTGTTAAGGCCTTAATCTAGATCGAGACAAGTTCTCTCCTCCATATTACTGAGCAGACAGATCAAGAACGTAGCAACCAAAAGTTGTGATGGAATTTCATCTCTTTTTCAATATAAGTGTTTAAAGATATAGAATCACAAGACAGCATTGAGTTGTGAAGCTTACCATTTTCGTATGGGAGTGTGGGACTTATTGAAGTATCACACGTGCCAGTTTCCATATTACTTAATTCTTCATCATACACCAGCGAGATTCCTTTGGAACGTGTTATACGATACGTCTTCATAGCACCGTTGCTATCAACATCAACAGAATTATTGTGATGTGGACTATCTACTTGACCATTGGTTAAAGACTGCTCGAAATGTGGCAGTTTATGAGTTGTTTCTCCGTTTTCATTGGATGTAAGACGATTTAACTGAATTTTTGTTAAATTATCAATATCTGGTGAGTGAATGCATGCAATGAAAAATGAGCTCAATAATTTAAACAAAATATCCTTACAATGCATTCACAATTGGACAATAAGATTAAAATAACGAAATATATATACATATTGTTTATTTGAACAAAAAGAAAATAAAACAAGCAGTTATACAAGTTTTCTTGCTTAATATTTCAGTTTCGTTTATATTTTCGACGACAATAACAACATTCATTATCTGACAGGCTCATGCATATCAAGCTATGCTGCACAAATGTGATGAATAAATAACGATAATAATGATATTAACGAATAATATTGATGATTATATAATGTTACGACATGCAAATAAGAAAGCATTAGCCAGTAGAAATATATCTACATATTGCCACATAAGTCTATCTGGAATTCGGCGTAAATCATAGGTATACAATCAAAATAGATTAGAATTGTAATATCAGTGGTAGTCAATTAGAATTTCAATCTGTTTATTTTTGCTCACTCATTTTGTGAAACGATTTCCACAAAGTAATTACTATTATTGAAGGACTGAATTCAGAAATTTTTGTTTGAACCTAACCAATTTTATTTCCAACCGTATATACTTCATATCACTTGTATGAAAAGGATAATATCGCTACTGTTATAGCGAAGATCAGTTAATATCATGTGGTTACAGATTTCTACATGTTCTTTTTTTTGAATAAATGTGAATAAAACATTACATAAAGGATCTGAAGACAACAGTCAAATCAATATTTACTTAAATCATTATACACTTGATTCACGCATAGTTTTCTTACATCTATATAAAAACGAGTTAACTGAAAATGAATTTCAATGAGTGATATAAATTGACAACAAGTGCAATTTCCCCCCTACCTCTTTCTCTCTTTCTCTCTTTAGTACTGGTCCATATAATCATGAACCATGAGAATATCAGTAGTTAGCACATACTTGGATTGTGACTATAAAGAAATGTTATTCAAGAAAAAAAATAACATGTTGTATACATTTTTTACTAACTAAATGTATATCTATTCTAACTTTCATAATGTATGCACATCCTAAAATGCTAAAATATATTTTAAATTGTTTTCCTTATGTTAAGATTTTAAAGTTACTTTAAAAATGAAAAAAAAGACGGATTATTTTTTTTCTGATAAGCTCTAATGTTTATTGGCTGTAATTATGAAAGTTATCTGTGAGATAATCAATTTAATCAGACAGTAAATTGTACTGCATAAATATTTAGTCCAAATATATTATAATAGGTAATACAACTCCTTAGATTACAAACTTAATAAAGAGTTAAATAGATTTTTTCCGAAATTCATTGCATTGCTATAAATTAAATGAACTATATTACAGTCGAGAGTAACTGTTCAGAAAAGAATGTAAGTTAATTGATAATGTGAGGGCTTAGAAGTGTCTAAAACAATTGTGTGTGTGTGTGCTATAGTTAGTATGTTACAGAAAGTTGTAGAAACAAATGACATAGTTGGTCGAACTAAACTATTAAGAAGAGAAAATCTACAATACTGATCGTCCTTAACTAGGCAACCATTAATTACCAGGTTGAACAGTAGACATTAATAATCTAACAAAGGCAAGAATTCATAAACGAAAAGCAAACAGACTAAAAGAAACATTAATTGTCATTCTTTTCTAAAATGTCCTGATACTTACAACCATTCATTTCAGGTTTTCGTTTATCATCTCGACTCAAATTTTCATTGTGTTTGCCTTCTTTAGCTAGGAAAGCATTGACTAGTTTCTGTTCGGTTTGTTTTGTATGTGGATGGAAACTTCAGTTGAAAAAGACAAAAACAAAATTAGATGGATTAATAAATCATTACTGTGGCATTAAAAGGTTACAGGGTAACGAAAACCAGACAGAATATTTTAAGATACATTCAATGTACCGATAAGAAGTACTATTAATTAGTGAATAATAACATTTATGAAAACTTTGACTGATATTTGCTAGGACAAAACTAAACACTGATGATAATCACGACTACAAATATTAGCAATGGAAATTATGTGATTTAATTGTTCATCAAATGAACTTGTTCAAGGAGACGTTCTACAATTAAAATATAGAATAATGAATGCTTCATAATTTACACTAACCAACTAAATATTATATTAAAAATTTCAAAATAATAACGAAAGTCTATCTCACATAAGTAAAAAATGTAAAACAGGATGATCTGCCTGAATAAAGTATAATTATGAGTTTAATGAAACATAAAATTCTGTGAAGAATTAAAGTCCGATTACCCTGCGCTATGACCAAAAGTTATTCATCAACAACGGCGGATATGACATAACTATAAATTAAAAGAAACTGCTACACTTTAAAATCAGTAGTACAATTAGAGAGGGAAAAGTTAATAGAGAATTGAATTGACAGTAGTATCAACTATAACAAAATAACAAAAGATGGGGGATATATTTCGAGAATGGATGGAGTCTTTTAAAAAGAAGTCGAAAAAATATAAGTTCAGTGGTTAGAAGATAAACAATGAATCTATACGCACCTTTGTTAGAGGTTTGAAGCCATAATAACCATGGCTTAATAACCACTAACTTTCTTTTTGAAAACTAATGTCAATCAGCGCTGAACATTAATTTGGACGGTGGTTGGGCGTGTGTATTACGTGCTTTAGCCATCTCAGTCAATGAATGTCCACAACTTTATGGATAATACCATCGAGTCAAGTTGTAATTATGGGGCAGTAACATATACCACAAGATTAATATATAGTACGAGACGAAATCTACATATGAAGTTTTCTAGGTGGTTAATTAAACCGAGATGTTGCAATAGCGATTGCATTTGAAGACTATTATTTTCTCATCTATGATTCATTTCCGTCATCACATCTTTTGTTATAGCCAACTCAAGCCATAAAATGTGTCAGGCAACAAAATTAGAATAAAATGATGACGGCGCTGTGACTATTTCTTTTAATGCTCTTGGTTTTACTGGTGAAATAATATGTTTGCTTTTGTTCAATGTTATGCACTTGATTTTAACTCAGTGATTCAAGTCATTTTGTGATTACTAAGTCATAATCTCCTGCCAACAAGCATTGTTAGTAATTACATCAAATATTTACGTTCTTTATCTGACTTGGCGCTTAGCATAAAATTTATTACAGGTACACTTTAGTACATTAAGAGAATATGCTTATGAAACCCATCGGCAGGACAATATACAATTAATTGCTAAAATTATATAACTATAATGATTATTATATAGTAGAATCATTCCTTTAAAGAAATGGTGATTTGGTATCTCCAGAAATACTTTTAGACAGAGGACTTAAAAAAGGACATCGAGTTCGGTTTGTTACTGATGAACGATTGGTGTTTTATACTTTTCATATGAAACTGTGTGTTGCTTCTGAATTAATTTTTGAGCGGATTCAACACTGTAGGCATTGATTTCAGTAAAATGCTACTAAGGATATGATAGATTTCTGATAGAGAAAAAAAACATGTCTTGATGAAGTCTTCATGTAACTTTAGATTGAAAAGGTGGTCTACTGAGAACGTTGAGTTGATTGCCTCAGTATGGTGATATACTGATTCCGTATACCTGAAATCACATACCTGACAGTACTTATTTCGCTTTATATTCCGCTTATTAGAAGCTGTTCTACTTCACAAATCAGAGAATTTATATTAAGTGATAAAGTGAATCGAAGAGATCATTATTAGTAACCGACAGACTTTATAGCTGTAAAATAGTTATGAAAAAGCCATACTGGCTTCCAATTTATATGTAATTAGAAAAAAACAAATTAAATCAATCAGTTGTGTGATCGATAGGAGTTTAATTGCTTTTCTGTCCTCATCTCTCCATCTCAGCATGAATAATGCGTATGAACAGTGATAGATTAAACTTAAAGTACACAAATAGTTAATGTTTATGATTAGTACACGCAAAATATTGCAGTTGTAAAATAAAATTTATTGCCTATCATTTAGTTTATCTAAGATGACGTTAAATTAAAGAAATTCTATGTATATACACCATTTAGTTGACTAATTAATGAGCTAAAGATCGCATTTTGGTAGAACCATGAATATTACTACCAATAGCCGAGAAAAACGGTGAAAACGCTTAACATAGTAAATAAGAAATACGTGATACTATCTGAGATGTTCTAACTAATAATTCACATTATCCCCTGTACGAATCGTTGTTTTACTTGTTATGTTTATCATGCCTTGTACCCGTTACGGTATATATGTATAATGGATAGTGGAGAGAAATCGTTCCATACTGGCATAACACATAACGCAATAAAAATTGTGAGTATAGGATTGTGAAGCTTGTTGAGTGGCATTGAAATCCTGAACCGTTTCAAGTTAGACCACCACTGAAAACCTGGAAACACTGGATGGTCGTTTCGTTCCAGCACGCGACTCTTCAGCAGTGTACGTCCATGACTCCACACGAGGGAATCGAGTCCACAATCATTATTCTCACGCTCGAACACTTAACCTCTAGACCACTGAGAAATCATACAAATGTACTAATGTCTAACTTCAATTAATACTCAAAATTGGTTCAGGATTTCGATGAAACTCAGCAATTTCCTCAGTGTTATACTCACAATTATCATACGCTCATTAGTGATTAGCTTTTAGAGGAAAATCTCAAAGTCCTAGTGAGAAGTTGTGACCAGTGTGGTTCAATAGTGGCTGGTGTAAGGCGATTTCATATATTGATCAAAGTTAGATACTAACATCTTTGAATGACAGCTCAGTGGTGTGGAGGTTAAGTGTTTGAGCGCCATAATGTCGACTGTGGGTTCGATTCCCGCGTGCGGGGTTGTCGATGTGCACTGCTGCGGAGTCCAATACTAAGATGAAACAGCCGTCCACTCCTTCCAAGATACGCAAAAGTTGTGATATATTTCTACTCAAATAGATAAAAAAGAATATACTACATATTGGATTATGTATAATGTAAATTAGGTCTATATATTTAAAGAAAAGAAGGCATACTTTGCATTTTTAATACTTTTTGGTAATCCACTATTTTGTAAATTTTCTACTGATTGGAAACGTTTTGATTTACGACCAAGCATTCCATCCATATCACTAGCCATTGATTGACTAGTTGGTAAAGCATGCATAGATGATAATAGTGCTTCACCTTCAGGTGTTTTCATAAACTGTACTCTACTCATACGTCTACCTTGACGTAAACTTTCACGACCACTAACCGGTAAAGGTAATTCATCGAAATCTTCACCATCCTCATATCGTAGACTTGCCTACAAGAAAAAAGGATAATTTATTGTATACACAAGTGTAATAAATTAAGACATCAATACAAATGAAGTATTTATTGTTTTATTTTTTCAGAGAAAAGGTTAATTTAATCACGTTTTTGGATTTTAATAAATCCTAAATAAAAACTCATCCATTGAATTCATTTTGATCATTACTAATATGAATCCAAATTATTCATTTTGCAATGATGCTAACAAAGTAAGTTTTTTTGCCGAAAACAGCCGTAGAGAACATGAACAGTTCATATAAGATTCATCGTAAACGATTGGTCAAAACAAATAGAATAACCAACTTGTTTACTTCATGACCTTTGTTTTTACAATTGACTAATAGTTTGGTTTGTCGTAAACAAATCATAGTTATATTGTCTTGCTTGTTTGACGCTTACGGCATAGTTCGCGTTACAGCGAATCATTGTAATTAAAGTGGCTAAACTGTTACTCAATCAATAGAATTAAAGTAGTACTCATAGTTGAACAAAAGCTACATTAATTACTACTGAGGGAATAATCAGCGTACATACCTCAGTCATACAGGAGCTATCTTACTAAATGATGTCTTCGACACTGAATGAGATCGGTTACAATGTCATAGAAAACATCGATTTCATCAAGAGTGAAGGTACAGTTTACGAATGAGCATCAAGTGGCAAAAAAAAATAGATTCATGAGTTTCCAATTATTACCTACAACTATCAACATCTCTAATAACAGAGTATTTAGCTACGGAATTATTTAATCTATTTTCCATTTCATGAGAAGCCATCACTTTTTCGGTCATACAATGATATAAACAATACATTTTACATTATAATTAAATAGTGAATTATGCTTAAGAAGAATACAAAGTTAGAAGTTGGATGGAGATAAGAAAAATAGAGATATTTTGAAAATATGTAAAGTAACATGTTGCGTTACGTTTAGACAGGGCAGTAAATTAAATCTGAATAAAAGCATATTTTGAACACGTAATGAACTACGTATTTCTCGTATCATATGTACAAAAGATTGTTTAAAATCCCCTAACAAAGTAGACAAGAATAACAGTTCCACCGATTAGTTTCCTTAGTTTCACTAATTTCGATCAAATTTAATAAAACATAGTCTTCTAAGAACTTCTGTCAGACGTTTTCCAGCCCCATAAAGGGATACGCAGTGATATTCATTATTCATGATTATAAAGACACTAGTCACTTGTCGCACAGGCGAAGACACCTAAAAAAATTCATAACTCGATCAATTTAAGAATAATGTTTAATAGATAAGAGGAATACACGGAATGATTTATAACTATGTGTTATATTTACTAACGTCAATCTAAAACATAAGAAGACGAATATTATCTTAACGATTTGAAATTGCAAGACTCATTGTTGCAGTCAGTGAAGTTATGACGATTGATTGATGTCATGATCAAGTTATTTTCAAGGACTATAGATTCCAACGGGACATTTTGGTTTGTATTCATCCGCCAACTGATTGATATTATTCAAAACGTAAGAAAAAATGTCAGTCGTTCACTCTATACTTGATTTTCAAATAGGAATAAAGTTAGGAAAACAATTGATTCTTACTTCGTATAAATTTAATTGTTCAGCTAGTTCTGGATCACAGTTTTTCTTTGTTAAATGACATTGAACAATTTTCTGCATTCCCATTTCTTCTAGACAGTCTGTGACATCATAAAATGTATCCTGATCTGGTATAGAATTTAATGTTTTATTTAGCAAAGTCATTGCATAGATTAATAATTCCGAATCACTAGCTTCATTATTCAGTATATTGATTATGTACGACCAAGGTCGACCAGAAGTAGCTGTAATTTAAAGCAGACAGTATTTTTAAAGAAATAATAAATTCTCTAGTAAGATGAATGATCTAGTGATGTATTATATGAACAGTAATTCAAAAGACTTCGATGAGCCTTCAAAACAACCAACATAATTTATACCGTTTGTGTGGTTAAAGGTTCTTAGAACAAACAAGGATAGAATCTATGGGATAATGATGGAAACAAAATCAAAGGTTCAAAATAATGAACGGTAACGCTAATAACAAACGTTTTTAGATGAGATGGCTTATATATTGTTCCCTAATTTACAGTCAAAAGCTTCAACTCATGTAATTAGATGACTTCTTACGTGACAGATTGAATTTGAAGCTTGAGATGTTAATGATTCCATTTGCATTTAACCGAGGGTCAACAAAAATGTTACAACAGTGTGTGGCAGGAGCTGACAAGAATGTTTAGTGAGATTGTTATCGATTAGGATAATTTATGGATGCTGAAGAAGTTTTGAATTATTATAACGTAATTCGAAGAACTCTGATTGATTGACGAACGTAATCAAACAATATGGCCAGGGAATAATCACTTAAGGGATCAAATTTATTAAATCAAACCTTCAAACGAACTGGTGTTAACTACAAAACCTTGAGCCAGAAGAACGAGGATTTTATGAAAAAATGCTTATGTACAAATTACTAACAGAAACGTAACATAATTAGAGGTCGTAAACGATCGGAGGATATCAGCTTTGTGGGTTATTTGCCAGCTTAATTATTGCTCGTCACACCATTGATGATGAAGAGCTTAGGATCAAACATCAAAGTTCATGAGTTTCTGTAAAAATTATGAGCTATAAATTGTACTCACTACATTTCAAGTAAGTCTTTCCATCAGTTGTCTTAGAAAAAATTTGCACACTAAAGCAGATCATCAGTATACTTCAGTCAATCAATCGATTGAGGAGGGAAGATATATAGTTTACATACTTTAAAGTATGCAAAACAGGATTTAGGGATGTGACCTACAAAACTGGTTAAAATTTAAGCGATTCAACTGGTAAACTACCATTTCACCAAACTGCTAAAAAATACAATTCTGCCTGTATTGGTTTATTTTAAAAACAATACCTGAAAAACTGAATGCTGATTAGATTTATCAAGAAAACCCTAGTTAGCCAGTTAGTTATGTTTGATAAATCGTAAACGTGATATGTCACATTTTTTTACTTCCTATTCTTCCGAAATCTCAATGGTAAAACATTTTTACTTTTGTGTTTATTGTTAGTAGAAGAGAGAAGAAAGCAAATATATGACCAAGTAATATTTGCAAACTGTTGAACCATTATTTCCACTAAAAATTGAGTATCATGTTAAATATAAATATTCCATGTTAGTTAAGTAACGTTATATTAAAAAAAGTCAAAACGCTCCAACTTAATTAAATCTTAAAGAAATGATAACTTGTAGCATGTCATGAGTGGATGACGGAACACACAATATTTTTTAAGTTATTTTTTAAAATTCAATCCAGACACTCTTAATGATTTGCATTCTTCGATCATTTTACCTCATTCAACTAGTCCCCAAAGTCAGTAAGCAGCTTGAACAGGTATGTAATTATATTCCAAATGAACCAAATTGGGTCAGAAAAACGTTAGTATATTCACAATTTTAAATTTAAAAAATTCGAATCTTCTTCAGTTATTCGCTAGTGCTGACTAACTAAATACTGACCAAACAGTATATGCTTTAATTCAGTTTATGTTCTGCAAACACTATTAAATTATGTTTTGGAAAAAGTTTGTGATGATATTTTAATCAACGTAGATACTCGATATTGATCAGAAATGCTAAAAGTCGATTCACTTCTTGTAGATTGAAATACAATGCTATATATTAGATAGTCTTTCAAAAAGCATTTTTGTTTTGTGGGGAGAAATATTCACAAATTTACAAAGCATATATACAGATGTTTGAAGACAATAGGAAGGAATATTCAGGCCTAAGTATTTAAGTACACGCTAGTAAGGTGTACCTAAAATTTTGATGAAATAGATATTCCCTGTGAGATTCTCTCGTGATTTACTTGACCCTGTGCTACATTCATAGACGTGACCATATAAATATATATTCTATAAGGCTGGGTAATATGAAGAATAAAGACGTGCATATAAGCTATATAATTATAACTTGAGAGAGCAGTGCTTTAAATCATGATTTTCAAAACATTACAATACTTATGACTTCTGGAATAACTTGCCAGTCTGTTCGTGAAATAAAATCAATCCCATGATTTATTCGTTGTATCAACGTTTACTTCTCCTCTGAAAATGCCTTAAATGCGTTTACATGTTTGAGTATTCTACGTTCCACTAATGAAATTATAGAGAAAATGTTCAACTACTGACATTACAACGTGCACTTATTAGACCTCTCTTCTTGAAGATGCTTTACACGTACACCATCCCACGTAAGCTTACCTAATAGTATCGAACTCGAACAATACATCTTAAAACTTGGCACATGTTTGACAGTACACCTATCATAGTAATTATTACTACTGTTGTTCTGTGCTCTCTTTTCCAGTTTTCTTTTTTCTAGTTACAGTTGATTATGATCACTTCATTATACCACTGGAAACGATCTTAAATACACTGCTTATATGTTAACAGGACGTTCACTTACAAATAATTAATGCTTTCCAACTGATCCCCCGATGACGTAATCCTTGTAAAAAATGGACTACTTAAACGATTTTCGATCTATAATAATTCGACAAATCTACATTGGGATGAATTCTATAATTGTTTTTAAAAAAAACATATGTCTACATAAAACTCACATAGTCTTCGAAGTTGTTTCTATAGTATTTTCGTTAATTGTCCTAATATTTCTTCATTTTTAAATCTTAAATGATAGGAGTTTTGGTTACCTATGGGATGTCATTTTGCCTAATCTATACAGAAGGGATATATCATGTTTTTTTTAAACTTTGATCTTAAGCTGGTATCATTATTATTTCAATTCTTTATACTGTTTTTTCTTTAAAGGTATCTCTGTACCTTTGGTCGTTTATCATATTCGTATTGAATTCCCACTCCAAATACTTTGAGTCACCTTAAATGATGTTATAAGTTATTCTTTTCAATTGATCTATTCTTATTTGTTTTACGATGTATTATTATTGATTAATTTTATATTCTTTCTTTAATAATGGTCAAATTGTGTAGATTTTAAGTGGTTAGAGGTAATAAAAGAAAATCCTAACTTAGCTTACGTGTTAGTTGACATTTGTATATTTCAACACAAGTCATCAAGTATAACAGTCTGAGACGCTATCAATGAGCTCCTGTAGGATTGAGATATCTACAATTGATTGATCAGCGTGTACCAACTACTGTCATTTTTCTTAAGTCCTTAGTGCTAGTCAAATTCTATAGGCAGATCTACTACCTTCAACCACCTAACATCTCAACATAGTATACACAAAGTCGGATCACATAGATGAATGGTTACATTACCACTGAATCAATATTATTTAATTAATACTAAAGACTAGACAAACATGATATTCTCCACTAATCAGACATCAATTCGTGTATATCATGTAAAAACAATAAACAATATTTATTGCTGTCACATTTATTGACTAATCATTTTAGCTAATAATATTTTAAAAAAACGATTGCCTTATTACTGATGAAATTTCTTATTGGTGAGGATGAAATCTATAAAATCAATCATTTATAATTAATCTTAAAATTCAATTATAATTAATTAATTAATGAGTCAAGAAAAAATGCTTTTCTCTTTTTAACTGACCAACTATGAAATAATATTTGTGCGCATAATCAATAATTGATGTAAAATTAAAATAAATACTTTGTACTTACGTGTATACATATATATACATAGAGTGTATGTATGTATGTATTTTTGAGTGCATATATAAAAGACGACTGACGTATATACAAGCACACAGTCAAATAAAATCGATTAGTTATGTTAATAATATGCAATTGTTATTATGATTAATAATTATTAATTGATATTATAAAATGTAAACAAATAATAAAGTATTATTATTATTACTATGAATGAGTTATTCTATTGAATATAAGTCATAATTTCAATAGTTGAAATCATGAGTGAATTGAAGCTAGACCACCATAGAAAACCTGGCAGCACTGGACGGCCGTTTCGTCGTAGTATGGGACTCCTCAGCAGTGCGCATCCACGATCCCTCCCCCCGCGAGATTCGAACCCAGGACCTATCGGTCTCGCACCAGGCATTTAACCAACTAGACCACAGAGCCGGCATCCAACGGTGTTAATGTCTAACTTTAACCAAGTCATAATTGTTACTAGTTTAATAAAAGAATATTTAATTAAGTAATTATAATAATTGAATTCATGAGTTAATTGAACCTTGAGATCAACATGGAAAACTTGAAAGTACTAGACTATCATATCCACAAAATCCATCACACACTCTGATTTTGATCAAAACGTATGAAAGAGTAAATGTAAATAAACTTAAAAATGCTAAAAACAAGTTTTTCTGACATTACAATTTTTTTATTTTAATAATTTTGTTTTGATTGACATGAGTGAATTAATGGTTAATTGGTTAAACTAGTCAACTTTTTAATTAATTGGTCAATAATTTGAATCTTCCTTTGTTCATGAGCTAATATGGTTTAGGTAGTTGTATAATATTAATAGATCTCTTACAAATAATATAGGTTAAAGTTGAGTACATAAATCTTTATTATATTAGTTGAATTCATGAGTCAATTGAAACTAGACTACCACGAAAAATGTAAAGTTTTGGACGGCCGTTCCGTTTTAATGTGGGACTCCGCAGCCACGATCCCGCCTCGCGGTTTAAACCCATGACCTATTGGTCTCGCGAGCGAACGCCTAACCTCCAGACAACTGAGCTGGTCGGCATCCAACGGTGTTAATATCTAACTTCAACCAATCCACGAAGTTAAGCGACCGTCCATCATTATTTTCAGTGAATTA